AACATAATAATCTCATTGAAATGAATGAGAAGACAGCGTTTTTTGACAGTGCTATCATCAGCCTGAACTCATTCAGGCAGTCTCAGCTGGATCTGCAGTTTGCAGCACAGGTGGCATGAAGCTGTCTAAAGGTGGGGCTCTTGACAGTTACAGAGTTACAGTTAGTTAAGTGTGTATTCAGGGTTTTGCACAGCTGTTGTGTACACCATTTGAGGTGCTTATGCACAATCTGTCATTGCAGCTCTGTGGCCAGGGGTTTTGGTCACATATGGTTTTGCTTCTTTGGGGGCGAATAAAGTGTTTACCCTCGTCTACACAGCCCGGTGAGAGCGCTGCAGTAACCTTTGAAACTGAGGACTATGATGTTTTCATATTTTCAGACAATGAATAAAAACTAATGATGTGCATTAAAGCAATTTCACTTCATTATCTGATGTCGTAGCTTCTCCAGTGTCTCAGTGAATCAGCTTCTGATGTGCAGTGGACAGCACAGCTAGCTTTGCTAATGCTAATGCTAGGTGAGCAGGAACACAGATGGTAACTTGATTTACCAAGGATATGATAGAACAACAACTGTAACTGTAATTTTAATACGATTTTCTTCAAAAGACTAAAATTTAACCAGAATCAGCTGCCAAAATGAACACTGCTTTAGATGGTTGCTTCGTCAAACCCCAGCTTTTATTTGTAATTCTTTGGGAAGATTTAGCTTTTTCCAGTATTTTCTATAAAGATCAGCACAAATTCAGTCGGAAGGATTATCTTTATGCCTCATTCATTCACTGTTCTCTCACTCTCCTGCTTCATCAGCTGACTGTGAGCATTCACTCTTTCAGTTGAACCAATCAGGCTTTGTGCGAGCTCCTCCAGTTAGTCACGTCACTGCTGACATATCTGTTCTCTTTCAGCTGCCATTTCAGTGCGAAATCCTCCACCCTGTTCACCTCCAGTTCTTCATATCCAGTGCCCAGGTTGAGCTCATCAGAGAGCACTTCACATCCAGATCTTCAGCATTCTCTCGTCCTCCACCACCACCAGTGTCTAGACTCCATCAGAGGTTAATCACTGCTTCATCAACACCTTCAAATACGAGGATGTCGCCATGGGGTCCAATGACCACAGACATTTCTCATCTTCATTGTGCACGTCAATTAAAAATATTTGCGTCTCTGGATAGGAACTGTTGCTGTCAGTGGGAGCTTCCTTCTTCACATTTGCCTGGACAGTCTGTTTCAGTTCATACTGCTGCTTCCTTTGACTTTGGCTATAACATAATGAGAGAGCGGGCAGCTTCTTATCTTCCCTCTCATGATGGGGAAAGGGAGGAGAGGTTGCAGAGTCTGAGCCCCTTGTGTGTGTTGGCTTGTGATGTTTAAGTTGTTTTTTGTGCAGTGGATGCGGGGAGTTTGGTAAGCCCCTGTCTAAGCAGAGGATCACCCACTGGCTTTGTGATGGCACATCATAAGGCTTTGTGCTGGCAGGCTCCGTCCCTCCCACAGTTACTCATGTGCAATTTACACACAGCCCTGTGGCTCTGACAGCCGTGTTCAGCGGGACGTGCAGAGGGGATCTGAGGTGAAGTGAAGTTGTTGCCTGTCTGTCCTCAGGTCTGTCTGCAGTAAGAGGTGACACAGTGGCTACATGATCGCGTTTCATACTGCAGCGCATTTAAACTTGTCCTGTCACTCAAGAGAACATACATTTGCATTTTTTCCGCTCCATATGAGGCATGTGCTGCTCACTATGAGTTAGAGCTTTGATTCTCTGGCCGACCTAACCTGCCGGTTTGGGGCCCAAAACTGCTGCCGTAGCTCGGGTTTGGGATTGATTTTTTTAATATATATTTAAAATGTATATAGTTGTTATATATAGCTTAGCTTATATAAACTGTTAAAATGATTTATTTATATATTTATGTCAAGCAGAAATTTGGGTCAGGCTCAGGTCGGGTCAGACCTGGTTTTTAGGCCCAAACAACACTCTCTAAGTACAACAGGTAATCACAGTGAGTCTGTAACCCCGTGGTTTTTTTACTCAGTGATTTGATTCACTGTAATTGTAGCCCCACTGTCCCTTTAAGAGTCATGACCGTAAGCCACTTTTAAGTCCACAAAGTAAAAGCTCTTAAATGAGGAATTCAGCTTACTGTAAGCTTAATGAAATGATTTCTACTGTACCTCGGTCCCATTTAATAAGTCTTTCTTTATCTTTAAGTCAAATAAACCCAGTCAGTAAACTGTACTACTAGAGCACAATCTGCTGCATACTGCCAAAGGATTCATTTAAGTGCAAGTCTTTTTTCATCTCCGACTTCTTTGTCTGTTGCTTTCAAGTGTTGCTGTAAAACAGCTGCAGAGAAGAGATACAGTATTGTTTTGTCTTTCAAAATAAAGAATAAATTCATTCGGCCACAGACAATGCTGTCCCTCCAGGATTTCACTGGTGTTTGGGATGTTTTAGGCTTTTTTTTAAATTTGCATTGAAATTGTGGAAGAAAGTAAAAATTGCAAAAAATAGTTCCTTTTTTGTATGATTCATTAAAATTTTAAGTGAGACTAAAATCAGTAGTAGTTTGGTGGCGTATGGTGGAAGGATGGCTATGATTGGTGACACTACAATGATTGAATTAGCAGAAATATTGCAGTGATTGGACAAAATTGCAAGGTGCACAGAACTCACTGGAACTGGCTGAATTTGCATTAACTTCAGATGATCAGGGGACACCCCGCTGGCTCAGCAGCTAGAATGTACCAAGCCCGAGTGTGCAGAGGCCCGGGTCGGAGTCCAACCGGCGGCCGGTTCTTTAGCTGCTACTAGCTAATAAAAAGGCAACAAAAGCCCAATAAATCATCTTTAAAAGAGGAATATTTTATCCAAGTATGCATAACCAGTAGCATCATTACCAACCAGTGCACATTTGTATATGCACTCAATTCAAAGAAACCCCTTTATTCCATCTTTAATAATAAACCTGTCCTGGCTGAGTTTACATCTCTCTCCCACTTTAAGATGCTGACAGAGGACACCTGATCCACTGCATTACTCCACAATATCACAGGACCTGAGGACGACGTTCAACCACTGATGCACTGTAGGAAATCTCTGCAGTTTAAAAACAGCTGAAAGATAAAGCACTGCTTCCCTCTGCTGGATGTTTGTGTGGCAAATTACAGACAAAAGAAAGGTGGGGAATGGTTGCACAGGAAATCAGGAGTTCTTGTCATAGCTACATTAATGAACATAAGATTGGCTTTTGGACAGATTGAAATGAATGTGCCTTTCTTAGTGTCATAAAAACTAGCATGTACTGATCAACCATCATCACACAGTGTCACATTTCAGATTTTTATTAGAAAAGACAGCCACAGTTATCATGACCCTCAATTTTTAACCCAGTAATATAATCACACCCCTCAAAATAAACAAGCCTCCCCCCTTATTTCAATTCAATATGCTGCCTCCTGCCTTTGCTCCTGGGATCGCCATCAGGCAGGAAGCAGCGACACTCACATAACACAGAGCAGTTAATGGCAGCAACTAAACTTCCTCCTGGAGGGAAATGACGGGGCTGGGCTCATACGTTTCCACAGGCCTTTACTGCTCTGTTGCATCCCAACCTGTCTGTCTGAAATGAGAAGTAAACCTAGGCCTCATCCTCTATTCTATCCTCAATTTCAACATTCAGATTCACCCGACTGCTTTGTAGTTCAGCTGGAGTCAGCGCCACCTCCACAAGATCAACGCTACAAAAGAGGACGCAAAGAGCTGAAACACAGGGTTTCTCACAGACCAAGGCCTGCCATTCTTACACTTCAAATATGAGAAATGAACTAAAGCTTGATTCCATCCTCACACACACACACACAATATTTATATTCTGTGCCTCCTATTAATCAGTAGGAGAATGCAGTCCCCTGGCCTGATCAGGCCTGTTTAAAATGTCAGAGGACATGAGAAGAAACAGAACCAGATTTCAGGAATAAGATGATGAAATAAGAAGAGCTCATTACTGCAGTCCTGCATCCGTGTAGAAATCTTTAGAGAGCACTCAGTACAGCTGAGAACTGACAAGCTTCTGACATAGAGTCTTAAATATTCCTGTGCAGTAACTTCCCACCTCAGAGCTGCTGAGCACACTATTAGAACAAGTTAGCTATACGTGGTGAGAGCGCTGTACAATATGGTACTGTGTAGATGAGGGGAGCTCAAACAGGGTACGAGCTTCTGAACTCAACTGGGACAAACAAACTGATCAGAGCCATAAACAAGCTGAGGAAAACATGAAACCTACATGATGTCTTAGACAAAGAAAGAACTTTTACTACCTCAATTAACAGCTTTGTAAAAATAAACATACATTGTTTATGAGACAATTAAGTTACAAACAGACAGGATATCATAGGACATGGAGGAGCGTACATTGACGTTTATCTTTTCACTAGAGTATTTTACTGCCAAAACACAGTAGAATAATATATTACGGTGAGAATGACTAAGTTTCAACTTGTCACTCGAGACTTCCACCCGCCCCACCCCGACAGTTCTCTGTTGTCATGGAAACCACGTGAGACATCCAAGTGCAAAGGTCTACTGCTGGCCTTCTTTCTTCTCTCCCTCTGATGAGCCCGAGCTGCCGCTGCTGCCGCCACCTTCGCGCTCCGCTGCCATCTGCAGGAAGGAGTGCGTTAGAGGAGAGAATGTGTCAGACTGCTGGCAGCGCTTCATCTTACACAATGTCAATTCAGTTTCCAATCAGAATCAGAAAGATCAGATTCCATGTGGATCATTCAAAAGATCACATCTGAGTCACATATGATCTGCAGTCAAACAAACACTTGTTCCATTTCATCACTTTGGGTTTCAGGACATTGGGATTGTTCAAAGCATTTATCAATGAATCCAGAAACATGTGTCCTGATTTGATATATTATTCAATAGTATCATTTTTTAGACAAATAATATTCACACTGGTTTCCCAGCAAGAGTTTAGGGCCAAAATATAGTCAGTGACTGAAGCAATAAAAGCCTGGGCTATTCATTCAGTTCATGCAATAGTGAAAAACAGTTTATAGAAGTCCTTTAGCAATGAATGTATACTGTGACTTTATTTATATACTTTGTTTAACCAGCAGTTCAGATTAACTTTGATTGTCTGTTTTGATCATAATTACATAATGCTTGCTAATGTCCAGAGTAAGGCATCAACAAATAAATATGATGATAGGATTGTTTTATTCCAATAATACAAGATTTTTGGTTTACATGAGCGATAGATTATATTGATCAGACTATTTTCAGACCTTACCTGGAAACTAACACTTTGATTCATTTCCAAACAGAACTTGTAAGAACCCAGTTACATCTTCAGCAAATGTGTGTCCAGGCAGTGTGTTATTTCTATACAATATTTCCTTGGTTAATTCATTAGAGGATGCTTTGTCTTTGTCCTCCTTCAACTGAACCCACTGCTGTCTCTGTTTCAACTTCATTATTAAAGGCCACTTCAGTGCTGCCAGGTTGGAAAAGTGCTGTCCTATAATTAGATATGCTCTTACAGCAATAACACAAGTGTATGAACAACCAAAGTCTCTGGGAAACATGGTCTTACATTAACCAACACTACAACTGTTCACAAACAAGACCTAATAGTAACAATGGTAAGGGTCACATGCTGACTGTTAACGCTCCTACCTTCTTGTAGGCCATTTCAAAGAGTTTGAGTGACGCCTGCTGCAGGGTGGTGGCCGCCTGTTTGATGTTCTCTCCTGTTTCTGAGTCCTTGTTGGCCAGAAGATCCTTGACCTTTGAGATCTCCTCCTTCAGCTTGGTGCACTGCGAGGAGACAGAAGCGGAGAGGAAACGAATAAAGCCGGAACGTGCATAAACGCATCACAGGAGGACGGTTCAGTCTTTATGGCACAAACACATACTAGAGAGACATGTCTGCGGCTGTGTTGGCAGCATTCCAACACTTTCAGAGAGCTGCATCAATGGTTTCCACACAGTATCCCGACAATTCTCTCCTCCATGAAGCAAGGTGGTCGATGCAAAGCAGCACATTTACAGAGCGAGCTTGATCTGAGTGAATTCAAAATAAAGATGTACCTCATCAGCAGGAAGCTGGTCCTTGAACTCCTCCATCTTGGATTCTGTGTCGTGGATGATGCCCTCAGCCATGTTGACGGCCTCCACGCGGTCCTGCGCACAACAAATATGAGAGTTAGAGGGGCGACAGCAGACCAAACATCAGTGAAGTACAGTAAATACGCAGAAATGTCCTGAACCAACAGAACTCATTAATGTGAATGTTAATCCACTGCACCGTTCCCGGTCCTTACCTTCCTCCTCCTGTCCTCCTCTGCGTACCTCTCGGCATTCTTGATCATGTTCTCGATGTCGTCTTTACTGAGACCTCCGGAAGACTGGATCACAACTGAGGACAGTGCAGAGAGACGAGAGGACACTCAGACGTTGGTACAACTGGTGATAGAACAGTTTACAGAAGACAGAACACACGGAGCAAAATCCCCAAAATGCTGCTCCAAAACTAATTTCATTAATAGGCCTTTTTAATTAAAGATGAATATTCCGTGTTTGTTTACTGCAACGACATTTTGTCAGGCTTATTGACAAGAAAGTACAGAAACAGTTTAGTCCTCGGTGGTTATAGCAGCATGCATAAACATTAGCATTCAGAATTCATTCATTCTCACTGAAGGCTGACACATCAAAAACATTCTGATAAGACTTCCGTTCAGCAATCCTGTGAAGAGAACGCTACAACGTTAGTGGATCTTACTCTGCTGCTCTCGGCCCGTGCCCTTGTCCTTGGCTGAGACGTGGACAATGCCGTTGGCGTCGATGTCGAAGGTGACCTCGATCTGAGGGACGCCGCGGGGGGCGGGGGGGATTCCCACCAGAGTGAACTGACCCAGCACCTTGTTGTCCGTCGCCATCTCTCTCTCTCCCTGACACACCTTGATCTCTACCTGAGTCTGTCCGTCAGCCGCTGTGGAGAACACCTGGACGGGAGCAAAAACAGGAACTTTAGGACACGTTCACACGCACATTTGACACCTTATAGGCAAACAGTCAGGGTTCCCACTCTTTTTAAGAAGTCTTTTCCCAGGAGTTTTTCCTCCTTTCTCTGACAATACAGGAGAGCACTTGCTCACAATGGTGGTCAGCATCACGTTAGCTTGCTTTCGTGGCACGCTTGGCTGTTCTGACCACAGCGGCCTCAGCAGAGCATAAATAACTGTTTAAATCGAGTAGAATTTATTTTATTTTACAATATAAAACATTTTTGACAAAGTATAAGTGTTTGTTGTGTGAATGTAATGTTATCTGTTTGAGGGGCTAACATTTTCCAGGAGAACATAGTTCATTATCAGGATATTTGGTCATTTCCAGATGTTTCCGTGAATGGAAAACTTGTTTTTAAATTTCCAGGTTTTCCAGATATTCCAGGATGCATGGGCACCCTGACAGCACCCTGCACTGTTGCTTTAAGTACCTGGCTCTTCTTGGTGGGAATTGTGGTGTTCCTGTTGATGAGCTTGGTGAAGACTCCACCCAGGGTCTCGATACCCAGAGACAGCGGAGTCACATCCAACAGCAGCACGTCTGTGACATCACCAGCCAAAACGCCACCCTGGATGGCTGCTCCTATGGCAACGGCCTCGTCGGGGTTGACAGACTTGCTGGGAGCGCGGCCGAACAGGTCCTGAACTGTTTGCTGAACCTGTGGAGACAAACTGAACGTTACATTTATACAACCTTTATTGAAATCTCAAGCAACCTCTGCTGTGGAAAGTACGATTCAAACTACTGCAGTAGAAGGTGTACTCAGTTACAACTGATGATGGCCTGCTAACGCTTCTTTGGTTCTCTTTTTGCATTTGAGCCACAATTTCTAAAATAAAAGTCTACAAAGTGCCACACAGAAAGCTACTCCCAACAAAGAGGGTAAACACATTTGACAAAAAAAAAAGCTAACTACTTTATATTTCAGTAAAAATTGCTGTTTTGTGCTTGTGTGTGATTTTATCATTACTAACCAGAAGAGCTAAACATTAGTGTTCTAACAATGTTGCTTAAACCTTCTACACTAATAAACCCACATTACTTGTAATATAACTTTTGCCCAGCAGATGTCACTCTTCACACTGGATTGTCATTCTCTACAACGACTCTTGTCAAACGGAAATGAACACGATTTTCAAGGCAAAATGAACACATGTTGTTACCTTGGGCATGCGGGACATTCCTCCGACCAGCAGCACCTCTCCAATGTCTCCCTTGGACACCTCGGCGTCCTGCATGGCCTTCTGACAGGGGGCCACGGTGCGACGGATCAGGTCGGCCACGATGCCTTCGAACTGAGAGCGGGTCAGCTTCATGTTGAGATGTTTGGGACCGGAGGCGTCCATGGTCAGGTAGGGGAGGTTGATGTCAGTCTGGAAGAGAGAATGAGCAGAATGTGATCACACTGGGTTTCACCACTCCACATGATCCGTAACTAAATGTCTGACACCGCCTCCAATGACAGTCACAAATGCTTCATTCTATTGGTTTCCCGTTCAAATCATCATCAGTCCATAAATCATTTTATCCTTCACTTGGTGTTGTATGGCCCTGTACTAGGCCTGCCCTGCTGTCAGTATCAGGACAGGCCACTCTCACTGGGCCGAGTCCTGCAGCAGCTCAGCAGCAGCGGACTCTAAAACAGAACCCGCTGCAGTGAAGCACAACACAGGACCTTCTCTACCAGCACTGTAACACTGAGCCAGACACACACAGTCTGGACAGCTGACTGAGAGCTGGACTGTGGGTTCAGGGCTAAACATGATCTCAGATAAGTGGGAGTGAAGAGCACACAGGTTTAAGTGACTGCATTTTCTATCTGAACTGTGTATGTGTATTCTGACTAAAGGGTAAGGGTGTTCTGTGTACCTGCAGTGAAGAGGACAGCTCACACTTGGCCTTCTCAGCAGCCTCTCTGACTCTCTGAAGAGCCATGTTGTCTTTCGTCAGATCCACACCGGACTGAAAAAGACAAAACACTCGTGAAATCCTGAAAATGCGGACTGAGCTACAGATAAGGGGCGTATCTAAAGACCTGAATTATTTACCTCTCTCTTGAACTCCTTGACGATGTGTTTGAGGAGATGTTGGTCAAAGTCCTCTCCTCCCAGGAAGGTGTCGCCGTTGGTAGACTTCACCTCAAAAACTCCCTTCTGGATCTCCAGGACTGAGATATCAAACGTTCCTCCACCCAGATCATACACAGCGATACTGGAGACAGATACGAGTTTAATAACACAGGCAACACAAAACAGCAACTCCAAAAACAGAATGACATATCAAGCACCAGTGTTTGCCTGACTGTAGTCCTTCTCTACTCACATCTTATCCTGGGTTTTGTCCAGGCCGTAGGCGAGGGCAGCAGCTGTTGGCTCATTGATCACTCGCAGGACGTTCAGACCAGCAATCTGACCAGCATCTTTGGTAGCCTGGAAGTCACAGAAATACATCACACGTAAGGGAATGTTGGGTTAAGGATGTCTTTATTATCCCTGAAGGACAAATGTTGTACAGCCAGCAGTACCACTAGTGGTCATTTAAAAACGCTCATTATCTCAAATTTCCAGATAATCAGCCATCTATAGTAACCTCAGGACCTCCAGACATAATAAACAATAAATACCATACAAAAATCTGTTATTTAAGAGGCCAATTGCAGCAGGAACAAATGAGTGCAAGTCTGTTGGTCCTGCATCTTGGCAGAATCAGCAGCCAGACGGAACTTAAACTCCTCAGACAGATAGACAGCTGGTGGCCGGATCAGCCAGGATACACTGGGAGCTCACCTTGTACAGGTGTGGAAAGTCATAAATTAAAAACTTCGAAGCTTTCCATGAAAATACATGCACTGATGAGTTTTCCAACACACAGCGTTCACGTGAAGCTCAAAGGCGAGCTCGTTGTCCACTACAGTGCCAAGATATCTGTACTGCTGCACAAACAGCCTGATCATTAATGACCACAGGAGAGACGGCTGGAGAATAATTCCTAATATCTTATGCCATCTCTTTAGTTTTGGACACGTTGGCCATCCAATATTTTATATTTATATTAAAAAGACAAATAAATCTGATTGACAAGAGCTGTGACACGGTTTACAAAATAAGATGTGTAAACCTTTCATGTGACTGGTGATCCTATATTAGGCCTCTACAGCCTTATATAAGCAGCCCCTAATTGCTTTAGCTGATAACACAGATCAGTCTATTATCAAATCATTTGAAGATTAAAACGGAGCACTGAACATAAGCTGTGTTGATATGTGTTGATTTACACTAATGTTAAAGTAAGTCCCAGACACTCGTTTAAATGCTCCAACCACAACTTCCATGCTACCTTTGACTGCATGCACTTCACTGACTCACTGACACGTTCAGAGAAATACCTTTCACAGTTTACATTTACCTCCAAAGCTCCTGAACGTCTGATGAGTGAGACATGGGTCACTTTGAAAAGTAGATGTAGAAAGGTTGTATTTCATTCCACAGTAAGTGAATAAAAATGCCACAGGTGGACAGACTGATCAGGAAAAAAGTAGCTAGAAAGGCAACAGTTACACCTTTCATAATCTAATCATAAGACTAGTGGATTTGGTTTAAGTGCTCCTTCCAATAACTCTATATTTTGGACAATCTATCCGCAGTCTGCACGTGCTCACTTCTCCTGTTAAATCAAAGATGTTTAATGAGCAATCTCCAGAGTAGTGACTCTCTCCCAATTAAACAATCTCTGACTAGATGATTTACTAGTTTTGGGAGATTCACAGAAACTTTACACTAGAGCACATCAGGAAACAAATAATAGTGTTTCAAAATCCTGCAGCTGCATGGTGGAGGGCTGAGTTTAGTGCATTAGAGCCATGTTCTTTCTGAAATATGACACATTTTGATTGTTTTAGGGCTCATGTGAATACATACAATACAATATAGGAATTATCAGACTGGTTCTACTTAGGTAGATACACACTGGTGCATAAAACTGTAGTTTAAGAGAGGCATGTAGTAAGTGTGTGTGTGTGTGTGTACCTGTCTCTGAGAGTCATTGAAGTAGGCTGGTACAGTGACCACAGCGTTCTTCACTTTGGTTCCCAGGTAGTTCTCTGTAAGACAAATAGCAATCATTACCGGGACAAACGCTCGCAATAGGGAGGACCAACACTAGCCGGATTCATGCAGTGCTTCTGCAGTCATACCTGCAGTCTCCTTCATCTTTATCAGGACAAAGGCTCCAGCCTGGCTGGGGGAGTACATTTTCCCATGAGCCTCCACCCAAGCATCACCATTAGAGGCACGGACAATCTTGTAGGGGACGTTCTTCCTGTTAATGAAACAAATTTAACTTTAATCTCAGACATGTACTTTAGGTTTAGTTATCTGGGTCCAAGTTTTCAGTAGTCCACAATGAAATATTATTTAAAAAATAAAATCTACCCATAGAGGAGAAGGAGTGATCAATGTTTCAAGTGGAGAAACCACATTACTTTTAAAGGCAAGAACGCAGAACCTTTTAAATAACGAGGTCAAGCTGTGTACTCACAGGTCTTTCTGGACCTCGGCATCGTCATAGCGACGTCCGATCAGCCTCTTGGTGGCGTACAGTGTGTTCTGGGGGTTGGTGACGGACTGACGTTTAGCCGGCATGCCCACCAGACGCTCCCCGTCTGCTGTAAAGGCGACGACTGAAGGAGTCGTCCTGGCCCCTTCAGCGTTCTCCAACACCTGAGAGACAGAAACAAATCTTCAGACTGGGGCCATCACCGGCCATCTTCCAACTACTGCACTTTATCTCTACATGTTATAGCTTTCAGAGCACAATGAATTAATTACTAATTACTGACTTAATAAAATCACCTTGTCTTACATAAAGATCATTATTTCCATGAAACTAAAGTAAAAACCACTAAAACTGGATAAGATTGTCTGTAATGAAGATAAAGTTCAGTTTGCAAAGCAAATATGGTGAGTGATGTTTAGACAGCATGAAGACAAACAAACACCAACAGACACAAACAGATGCAGTGTCACTCTAGGTACCACGAATTAAGGGGGGGCAACATGACAGCTAGAGTTGAAAATGTTTACTGAGCTCTCACACGCAGTGTTGTCACAACAAACAGTTGGGGAAGTCCTCCTCTGACTGTTTACTGACCAAAGACAGACTGATAATGTATTTAATTGAAGGGGCCACATTTTTCATGTGTGACAGAAAACACATACATCTACTTTAAAAAAGGTTGCTACATGCTCCTCTGCTGCTATTGATATTACAGCTCCACAGAGCATGGCGTCATGCTTTTATATAGGGATGCACGATATATTCGGCATTAATATCAGATATCGGTTCCGATTAGTAAAATTGGGCCGATATCCACAACCGATGTTTATCCTCTAGTTGCCTGTTTGTTGTCGCGGGAGAGGGAAGAGGGGGAGGGGGAGAGGGGAGGGAGGGAGGGGATTTGGCATGTGTATTTTTTTGGGCACGCGACAGGTGGCAGCACAGGATTTGGTGGGATGTTAAACTGAAGAGCGAGAAAAAATGGAAATGCTGGCCTAAACGTTGTAAGGTTACTCGACCAGACCAAAAAATTTGGCAAGGACAGCCCAAAAGCAGGTCAATAACCAACACGGTAATGGAAATGATTAATACATGGAATTGATGATTGCAAATTACAGTGCAAGTTGAAAAAGTGTGCACTAAACAGTCAGGACATGTTTTTTAGATATTTGATTTAGCCTTTCACAGATTTGAGTTTAATTTGGAGGTGCACAGAGCTGAAAACATGTGGCCATGAATACTGGCATGTTTGATAAGGTGGTAAAGGTTGGGTTACTTATGTTTTATGGTAGCCCTGTAACCGTTGTTATTTGGAAGTAAAATACGTTCTGAAATAAAGGAAGGCATTCAAATATTCAGTTTGCATGATTTTCAGTCTTACAAAAATTTTTATTCATCTCAGAAACGTTTTTTAAAAAAACACTCGATATCGGCTAAATACGGTTATCGGCCATAACAGCAAAATTAATATATCGGATATCGCGGTATCGGCCAAAATGTTCATATCAGTGCATCCCTACTTTTATATCACCCAACATTGAGCCACACCATTAACAAATATATCTATTAGTAGGCAAGATTCAAAGAGATTCAGGAGGCATCAGAGAGTACATGTGATGGGATCAGTCGGTATCTAAGATCCAAGAAATCAGTAATCAAGGAAAATCTACACAGACTTCCAAAAGACACTAAGGGCCTTATTTTAACCATCTATAGCACATTTAGGCCATGACCAACTCCACTTTTGCATAATCTAGGTGCAAATTAAGGCAAATTGCTGTATTTAGTCTCGTAATTAATAATAAGTGTGATTTGGGCATATTATAAATTAAATGTATCAGTGTCATCTGATGACCTAGGGACAGCTGGCATTAGTCTCTAAATCATGAGACAGAGGGCTACAGATGTCTGTTACACAATCTTCCAATCCTCTGTCCCAACTCCATTTGACTGTATGTAACTGCACAGACACTTAACTGGGGATGAGGACAGGTTTTAAAAACGATGTAAGTATTACGAAATAAACACGAGAGAGAAAGGCTGAATTTCCCTCTGGGGATCAACAAAGGTTGACTTAAACCTATCCTGATCAGCTGAGCACATTTAGTACCGTCCATGACAGACGTGTGAAGTGTCTGCTCATCCTCACCTTGGCCTGTTTGCCCTCCATGACTGCGACACAGGAGTTGGTGGTTCCCAGGTCAATGCCAATGACTGCACCCTTGACAGCCTCTGACCTACAACACATACACACTTATGTTAGAAATGAATCACGTTTTACTCCAGTATTCTAACAATCAACAGGAGCCTATAACACCATTAGAACCTGTATGAGAACCTGGGGGTCAAACGTCACTAATGTGGACTGAAAGTGATCCTAGAGTATCAACTACTTTTTAATGAACGACAGCACCCATTTTCAAGGTGCATTTCACAGGAAACAGCTTGTGCTCATACTCACGCATAGTCCCTCCTGGACAGAGCTCTGAGGGCATCTGGCTGGAAACCACTCCAGCATGCCTGTGAACACATCACAAAACAGTCAGACAGCTGTTTTAGCAGTAACCTAACATATAACATACACATACATATAATGGATCCAACGTGTCATCAACATCATTAAAATCATGTTACTAATTTAACATGACATTGCAAAAAATACAGCTGAATTTAAGATAGACAGACAGATACTGCCATACACCTTTAAATCTATAGGCGGTGAAAGGTTTGATAGACAGCTGCCGACTCATGTGTGACAACATATCATCGAAAAGAGCAAAACGAACAGTGTAGACGATCAGTGACAGTGTTCATTAAGCTGTGGAACAACATGTGACAAATGTTGCAGCATGTTGGGAGGAGGAGAGCTCACTGAAGGTCACTCATCCGACTGTAGTCCTGGAACCAGCACACACACTGTCTCACACCGTCTCACAGCACACACCGTCTCACACCGTCTCACAGCACACACACTGTCTTACACCGTCTCACAGCACACACATACAGTTATTGAACTAAACACGATGCAGCGCGTAGTTAACTCAGCTGCGTGACAGGTAAGAACTACAATGCAGGCTGTTAGCTTAGCCCCAAGAACCTCACGTTATATATCAGTCAGTGTGAAGTCCACCAATGAACAGACAGCGTCACACCGATGAACATTAGTGTCAATCACTACAGTTTAATAAAGCACACCGCTTCCTGACTGCTAACTACACATTACATTGTGGTAGTCACGACTGAGTAAACCGGCCTCCAGCTAACAGTTAGCATGCTAAGCTAGCCGGCTGCTTGTCAAATCTTAAAACCACGCTGAACATTAATAAGGTAATAAAGGTTACTAATGTGTCTGAAACTCACCTTCTTGATCAAAGAGGACACACTTCTGACACAGGTCGTGGTCGGGACAGTCCTTGAAGCGCTTCTGGCGACACTCAACATTCTGACCACTCTGCTAACAGGCTAACTCAATTTAAGAAAATTCGCAGCGTTTAACGTCGAAACAGACCCGAACTGTCGAACAGCGAAGATTAGCTAAAAAGAGTCAAGTGTCTACGTGTCTCCAGACTTCCACACGGTGTTCCCGGGGTGAGGTCGAGCTCAGGTCCAGCAGCGGGGCTTGTCTTCGGACTGAAGAGCAGAGGAACTGCGGAGCTGCTTCTGGAATTATCCAACACATGTTGCACCATGCAACGCTGAAGGACCCCGAGTGGGACGGCACATTTACTGCCTGAGTGCTTTGAAACAGTTAAGGAAATATTATAGAAGTATTTGTGAAATAAATATACGTATTTTATCAATATATAATACAAATGATATATGAAACGTTTTTGATATAGAAACTGAAAACATATCTGCTACTTTTTGCCTTTTTGTGATCATGCACAGAATAGAGCGCATACACGTAGTGGGCATGTGAAGGTCATGATGTAACAGGGGGTACGGGGTTTCACGTGTATTACGTTAGTGATGCTGAATGAACGTACCTGTTGTGTTATGAAATATTGCTATTGTTTATGAAGAGGCTTGTATCTGTGAATACGCAGTGATCATTCATATGGATATCCATACACACCTGAGAAATCTCTGTCTGAACAGATTAGGGAGCAACTTTAATTCAAACTGGGAGCAGCCCTTTCCTTTGTCCTCCACTGGAATACATTCTGTGTAGAACAGCGGTTCCCGACCTTTTTCATTAAGAGCTCTGTTTTTTTGGATATTTCATATTATATTCAAAACTGTGCAATGAACCCAAACAGTGAACTCAGTAACTCAGTGAACTTTGAGCAGATTATTTCCTGTTGTAAGAACTTTTTTTTTGTGCAAAATTCTGTCTATATTAGGCCTATGTATTTTTTATCATTTTTTACAATCATAAATACTTAATACGCTTCTTTTTTTTGACAAATTCAGTGTTTTCTTGTCCCTGGCATTTGGTCATTAGACAATTTAAAACAACTTAACAACAACTTTAGTATATCTATCTATCTTTAAATTTTCTCTTCAGAGAAGTGAACCAGATGCTGAGATATAGGCCTACTGTGTATATTTTCAATTAGCTTTCTTACACGCCTTAAAATCAAAAAGGCTTTGCAACCCCCCGTGAAGCTTTGCCGACCCCTAGTGGGGGTCTTGCCCCCCATGTTGGGAACCACTGGTTTAGAGACAATGGCCTTGACCCACAGTGTGGTGATACTGGACAAATGCAGAGTGCATTATATGAAACAGTAAAATTATTCAAAAAGGGGAAGAAAAATCAAACAGGTTGTATTTCATAAAGAACAAATGTTGGTGTGTTTTCTTTACATATTCTATGTAAGCATTATTTTCCATGATCAGTGATGGTGCAGAGTGGACCATGGAGGGAATGCCTGAAAGAACTGTAGAATGGATAAGGGATGCACAGAAAGCAATAATAGAAATTCTGAAGGATCACAGGATTTAATAAAGTTAGCAATGTAAAACCCAGGACAGTAGACGGCAGTATACATCTTCAAAGTAAATGATTGCAATCTGCCATAAAATGAAAAGAAGAAGAAAATGGTGCAGAAGTATTTGTACTGCTGAGGGCTGCAACAAACAGTTCTTTTTTGAATCCATTCATCTGTTGCACTTATTTTCTTAAAGAATATCAAAAATGTAGTATTGGTAGTAGTGAAAAATACCATCACAACTTTGTAAATCCCAAGGTGAAGTTTTTAACTATCACATCAGAAGAAAATCAACAAATCATCACAAAGTAAAAGCAGGAACAAGACAATGTTTGGAATTGTGGTTGAAAAATTACACACAGTGAATATATTCCCAAAATAGTTGCATTCTGTCAATCAATTAATCAACTAATTGATCAATGGTTTATCCATAGACAGAAGGTAATGGAAGTCACCACCAGTGAATAGTCAGTATCATCTCTGAGACATTACAGCTGCAACACTGATCTATGTATGTATAATTAATAAATACATGTATAAATATATAACAAAAATACATGTAGAAATACAGAAATAAAGAAATAGAGAAATACATTTGAAAAATGTTGAAATAGCCATCTTCATGACCAAAATTGATTTATTTGTTAATTATGTATGTAGTAATTTATTTCTGCATTTATTTGTTTATGCTTATGTCATTTATTGTCCTTCATTTGTAAGAACAGAATTCATTGAGAAGTTATATTTTAAAAGATTCTAATGATGTCAGTTTAATGGTGTCCAGTAGGTGGGAGCAGTGAATGGTTATAGAAGTCAGTATGTAACATCTGCTTACATCAACCATGTCAAAGCCCTTGAGCAAGGCACTTAGTGACCTTTACGTTCTTAGCAGCCCATATCTCTGTATTATAAAATTGACCTGATTTATAGTGTATGATTCGAGCGTTTTAATGGA